AATGTGGTAATTTTTTATTTTTGATAATTTTACAGTTTTAAAATTAGAAAAAACTCCAAAAATAAAATAAAATTCGAGGCATATTTTTTTTGGGAAGAGTAATTTTAATTTTAAGCAATTATTTTAATAGAAATGCAAGAAAAATTGTTTAACATTAATAAAAATAAAATAAATATCAATATTGGACTAAAAATATCACATCACATTTTTTTATTTAAGCTTTACTGTTGCATGTAAATACCTAAATAAATAAATAAAGAAAGAAATAAAAAATCAAATTCTGTAAAAATATATGCAATTCTTATAAAGTTATAATAACTAATTTCTTGAAATAAATAAAATGAAAAGAAGTGATTTTAGGAAATTATATAAATAACATTAATTATAAGATGAAAGGAATAAAGTAAAAGAGATTAATAACCTTAATAGTGAAAGAGATTAAATATGATCATCTTTTTAAGAAAATTCGGACAAAGTGCAAAAACAAAATACCAAAAAATAAATAGAATTTCAGGCATTAGAAATTAAAAAATATCAATAAAAACATTAATTAAAAATAAATAAGAAAAAATAAAATAAATTTTAATTGAAGACACAAAATAAAACAAAATAAAAGAAGAAAAATATTAGTAGAATGAAGAAGAAGAAATAATGTCGTTATAATTAACAAAAAAAATAATTAATTAAAGATATATAAAAAGAAATTAAGACAGAATAAAAGAAGAAATGAATTAGTAAATACTTATTCTCTTCCTAATTTAATACAATTTCCTAAATAGATTGATTTTTTCCTAAATAAATCTTCTTACCCTTTAAAATACTAATCACTCTTCCTATAAATTTCTCAATCAATATGAAATTTTTTCTCTCAATATAGAAGGAATCAACATTCTTTCAAAAAGACTTCTACTTTGAAGAAAAATTTTTGTTACATAATTTTTCTCTTTACACCAATATCAATATCTTTAGAAGATTCATAAGATATCCTTTTTTTTTTCTTGAAGAAATCACAAGCCTAGAATTTTGTTGGACATCTCAATGGCGAAATTTGATATTTGTATATTCATCATTATCAATATCTTTAGAAATTTCATCATCATCAATATCTTTAGAAGGATCATGAGATATTCTCTCATTCACTTTTCTTGAAAAAATCACAAGGGTAGAAATTCGCAGGACATCTCAATATCAAAATTTGATATCCATATTTTCATCATCATCATCAGAAGAAGAGAGAAAGTGAAGGATTCCACTATTGTTGATTAGAATACTCAATTTTTTTTTTATTTTATAGGCTAAATTTATAAATAGTTATGAAAAATGAAAAGGTTTTGATCTTTTCATCTTCCATTACTTAAATGTGTATTAGTATGATAAAAGTTTTAAAGGAGCATGATCTGATGCATTAAAATATTTTTCAGTTTTTTTTTTTCGAAATTACAAATAAAAATTGAAAAACAAAAATAAAATGTCCAAAAAAAGGAGATAAAAGATAATTAAAATGCTGGTCATAGAGAGGTGTCACACCAGATTGTCTATATTCAGCTTTATATATATATAGATTTATTTAATGATAATAAAACAAGAATTTTTTGAGTCTCTCACCTTATCATGCAATAATTATAGAACCCCAAAAGTCTAATATGTGTTTTGTTTTGAACTATAAATCCCTCTTAATTTACAATGGATCTCAGAAATATAAGATTGTTTACTCTATTTTTGTATTGCTATATCAGAATTATTGAGACACAGGTTTGGTTGATATATTATTAGTATGGCAAAATGTTTTTATTTTGTAAGTTCTTTAATTTTTTATTATTGTCGATGAACTTTTGTTTTGATATGATGTGATATTTTTTTCATTAAAGATATTAAACATAAATTCAATTGCAGGAACTGATTAAATTCGATGATACCATATTATTATGAACATACAAAAGAGGATTTTTTTGGTGTTTCATTATTTCTGAAAGGAAGTAGATAACAAGTTATTCATTGTAAAAATAATTTACAATTACATTAGTTAGCCTATTACTTATATGAAATTGCTGTAATCAGATTAATGTAATGGTTTATTTTTAGTTATTTTTTTTTATCTTTATCTTGCTTTTTTCCCTTTCATTTTCTTCATTATAATTAGCATATCTACTCATCCTTTTGTTGATTAAATAGTTAATTTTTAATGGCAAAATGAAAAAAAAAAATCCAATTTGATTTTGCAAAATATGACAAGCGTTTTGTGACAAATATTTTTAATAACGTTGATAACTAATATAAGATGGAGAAATAATTTCTCCTTTATCATGTCTAATTTAGATCTTCAAAATGTTTATCATCTTCATTTATAGATATTTATCATTTAGTTTTGAGAAAATGGTCTAAAGCCCCCCCAACCTATACCCGAAATCCCAACTACACACTCCAACTTCACGGATGTCGTATCACTTCACTAAATATTTTATTTGTCTATTTACTACACACTTGTGCTACCCTGTCCACATAAACCAAACAAAAACAAATTGTCTCATGTGTGTTGCAAGCGCGGGTCCCCACCCACTTCAACCCCCAATTCTTGTTTCTTCTCCATTTCCCTCCTAAAAACGTAAGAAACCCCAAAGAGAAGTTTTTCATCTCGTTTTCTCCATTTGAATCGAAGCATTTTTGGTGATGATCGAAGCATTTTTATGTATATTTTCAACTTGATTACGTAGTTTAGCAACTGATTTAGTAAAGTTCAAATCTTGTTCCCGGATTTAATCTTGACCAAGAAGTTTGCAAAGTCAGCAAAATTTCATGTTTGCATCTCACTACAGCATTGAGCATTGAGTCTGATTCATCCATACAAAGCTTATTCAAGTTTTCATTTACCATTTTTAACGAATTTCGAGAAAATAATTCAAATTAGAGACCCTAAATAAGAAATTAGAGCAGATTAAAAACCCTAACTTCAAGATTTTAAGTAGAAATGAACATAAACAACTAAAACCTACCTTAAATTGAAAGAAAATCGTGAAATTGTTAAAAAAGGAACAAGGGTTAATGGTGGGGAAGAAGGAAAAATGGTTTATTTAACTTGGGGAAGATGACTGTTGGAGAAGTACAGTTTTTTTCGTCAAAATTTAAGGTTATTGCCTCTTCTCACGCGCCTAGAGGAGGTGTTCTCACCTCTTATGATAGGTCAACACTCAAGTGTGTAGTAAATAACCAATAAAATATTTGGCGGGGGTGGGGGCGGTGATAGGACACCCGTAAAGTTAGAGTGTGTAGTTGAGATTTCGGGTGTAGGTTGAGAGGGCTTTAGGCCATTTTCTCTTTAGTTTTCTTTTAGTAGACATTTATTTTATCATGTTCTTTTCCTAAATTTTACTGTGAGACAAGTCTTTTATATCTTAAAATTTTGTTCCTTGCAATCTTGCATTCTCTTGAGAAGATTGTACCTTTCTTCTTGAAAGGATGTCGTCCGATAAGGAAAAAATAGCTCAGTTCACGCTTGACGTTTTTATATTCATATAACTAAAAAAGTTAACAAACAATTAAACAATAAAAAGATAAAAGTAGGGAAGATTATTGTTTAAATAATTGGTGCTTAAATAATTTATCCTATAATTTTTCTCTTTTCTTGACATGTATATGTACAAGTTTACTAACGAACAACAAGGTCATCTTCTCAAATCAACTATAACTTATATGAGTACAAAAAAATATTTTGATTTTCTTAAATAGACTTTTTGAAGTAAAATAAAAACATTGTTCATCATTTTTTTTTAAAGAAGGGTCAAGGAGGACCACGCTAAGCGCGGCTAGATTTACTAGTCTTAAATATTATTCATAACTTTTGTATGTTTTAGTTTTCATAATTCTTATAAATATTTAATTAGCGTTTAAAAAATTATAATAAACCAATATAATAATAAAGACATAATAAAAAATTTAAAAGTTTTTTTACGATATCAAAATTTGTATAGAAAATTAGTACTCCTACAAAAGATAGAGGAAATTCAAACATGTAAAATATTTTCAACGTAATACAATATATTGTTATTTCAACATATTACCTCTTATTCAATTTACTTTGCCACAGTAAATATTATGTTCTACTATATACATATGAATAGTTTACACTTAAAAAGATGCAAAAACTTATTTTATTTTATATGTTTTAAAAAATAAAAAAATGTATCATGTTACATCCGATACTAACCTAAATATAAATATTATATATTATTATCTTATAAATATTTCATTTAATCGCATGAAGCGCAGACGATTTCACTAGTTATATATAAAGTGAAATCTCAAGAGAGGTATCTGAAAAAAGAAGAAAAATTGATTACATATATTTTTATTTATTTATAAAAGTAACTTTTATTCAAAAATACTATATAGGATACAACAACATAAGATAGGACTTTAATAAAGAGGAGTTGGTAAATAAATAGTTTTAAAACATATCTCTGATTTACAACTTTTGTCGTTGACTTAATTTTAATATTAGTCAGCAAATTATATTCCTCAAAGTTGAAGGGTGTAGTGTAGTGCGAAGCATGGAATCGGAGCGCCTACCGTTGGGAATTTGAAATCCCTCCCTCTCATCACTTCACTAAAAAGAGACGTTAGAACTCTTTTTTAACCTTTTCTGGACAAAACATTAATTATTTTATATAACTTTTTAAAAAAATATAATCTTTTTTTTTTCTCTGTCTTCCTCATTTAATGCCCATTCAACTATTCTTTGTTTCAGACAAATTAAAGATTACACCTTTCATTTCTTACAGCTATTTTTCCCTTCCCCCATTCCCCCAAAACTCACTCATCTCTTCAGTTTTTTCTATAGCAAAGTCTATAATTTTCATTTGTAAACTAGGGGTTAAAGAATCTTGGTTTTGTAAGTTCTTCTTGTATTTGTGTTTGATGTTTAGTTTTTCAGTGGTGTGTTTGTTGTATGAATTGATATATGGGAATGCTGAGTGTTTGTTCTATGTTTTTGTTTGATCTCTCAGATTCTTGGGAAGGACAGGATTGGGTTACAAGGAGCTTAAACATTTGATTTGTAAGTTTTGTTATGTGGGTTTGATTTTGTTTTGTTTTGTTTTCTTTGTGCTGATACCAATTGGGGTTCTCTTGTTCACCATCTTATATGATTTATACATGGGAAAGATTGATTTTTTTTGCTAGGGAATTTGTAAAGGCTGGAGGTTTAATGAGTTCTGAGTTCTTCAGAGTCTTTTTTGTGTTTTGTTTTGTTTTGTTCCTTTAAAATGGTGATATGCCAATTGGGTTGTTGTTCTCTTTGTAGGACTGTTACATTGATTCAGTGCTATGTTTTTGCTTCATCATTTGCGGGGTTGAATGTATTTCAATTTGTTATCTTTGCAAATTTTTTAGTTTAATTATAGTTTGACCTAGATTTAGAATTAAAAATTAAGAGCTTTTGATTTTGACTTCTAAGAAGAAGAGAAAGGAAAGGGGGGAAATGAATTTTTGATTAGAGAATCTTTTTTTAAATATGATTCAGTTTGGAAATTTCTAGACCAACTAGGGGAGGGTACTAACGATATTCGAGTTCATTTAAAAGCACTGACCTTTTAAGTATTCGATTGACTATACCTTTTAAGGTACAGTGATTGCATTGGAATGATTTGGGAAATCAAGAACTGGGCTTGTCTGCAATGCAATTTGATTTTGCAATGATTTAATGTGCTGATTACGCGTTTATGTTATTAGGACACTACGTGAGTCCAAATTCAAAGGTCACAGGAACAACTTCAAATGTGTTGGAAGTTGGAACTAATTTGATTTTAGTAAAGTGTTAGTGGCATTAGGGTCCTGAAGATCTTCTGTTTTTTTTAATCAAATTTTTAGTCCTGCCACCTTTTTTGTCTCACACTGAATTAATAAACTTTCTTAGACCTGGAGCCTTGGAGGCACAAGTTTGAACTAACAAGGTCATATTGCTACTCACTTTTGTATATTAAAGACGAACATTGGAAAATGCTGACCAGTAATCAACTGAAAATAGACAGCTTGAGAGAAGTGAGGATCTTGTCAGGGTCAGGAAAGTGGGGCAATAGGATTAGGTGGTCTACATTTGGATGGAGGAATTAGTGACTTAGTGTTATAGGGGAGCATGGAGGAGGTTAAGATTTGGGGTAGAGGAAGAGATAGATAATTATTTATAAAGGTAGCTATGTGCAATTAAAAAAACTCTTGCAAGCCAAACAATGTAATGCCAACTAGATAATGCTTCTCAAATGTGTAGGTTTTCAATTTCATCACTACAGAGTAAAAGACTGAATCAGGATGAAGTAACAATCTGAACTTGTAACATGTTCTGGGTAGTCATTCTTCAACAGGTGGTGGCCTGCTTCGACTACTGTTGATTTCAAGATAAGGAAATTGAGTTGATTGTCATGTTACAGTCAGCTTAAATATTGATCGAATGGTTGGGATTCAATAAATGGAGAAATTTGCTGGAAAGAGATGTCACATCAAGATTGGATAAAGCTAAGTAGTTTTATTGGAATTCTTGAAAGAGGATAGGTTTCAATGACAAGGAAAAGGAGTTGAGAATATTGGTGGACAAAAAATGGGGGGACTACGAAGAAGAAAATATAAGATCATCAAAGTAACTGTGGGGGAGCATATCTCCTCAATTTCCTTTTACTTAATTTCGCAAGTTCCGCTGACAAAAAAGAGTAGCCTAAAGGAACAAATCTATAAAAGAAGATGCTACAAAAGCATCTTCATTTTACTCACTCATTTATTAGTTGTCCCAAGTTTTGTTTTAAACAGTATCTCTTACTTCTAAAATTTTCTGCAGATGGGTCTGGAAACAATGCTTGTTGTTATAGCTGTTTTTTCAGATTACAAATTTTGAAGAAAGTTTGAGATCAGCAGGTGAATATGGTTGTTGAGAAACAGGGTTCCAAGAGTGGAGGTTATGTTGGTGGCTTCCTGCAGTTATTTGATTGGAATGCAAAGTCACGGAAGAAATTGTTCTCTAGCAAGTCTGACATACCAGGTAAATGCCGAAGATGTCTGTGAACAATGGATAGGACCACTGATTCTTCCATGTGCATGTATAGTGGTAGAACTTCAAGAAAACTATGTTGTCAAATGTTATAATTCCTATCCTTTTTGCAGAGCTATCCAAACAGAAGAAGAGATGTGATGGGAACTTGCCTATGACTCGTGTTCATTTGGTCTGTATTCAATAGTTAATTAAGCTTTCTCATCTTTTGGTTTTCCACCTACTTGGAGATTAGATTTTCCCGTTGTACTTTTTCAACTGAAACTATTTGATTGCAGAACAATGAGGATGACACTACAGCTGTGTCCAGTGTCAAAGGAAGCAGTGACTACAGTTGTGCCTCATCGGTAACTGATGAGGAATATTATGGAATCAAACCTGCTGGTGTCGTTGCAAGGCTTATGGGATTGGATTGCTTGCCATCCTCTAATTTGTCAGAGCCTTACTCTACTCCATTTTTCGATTCTCAGTCTCTAAGAAGCGCTCCTTCCCTTTCGAGAAACCTCGAATACCAGCAAAGTTTTCAAACAGTATATTCCAGCAACCTCCATGAGAAGATGGAGGATCTAGGAAGGAGCTCATTTGAGCCAAAGCAACAGAAGATAATCAGTAGGCCCATCGAGAAGTTTCAAACGGAGATTTTGCCTCCTAAGTCGGCTAAATCAATCCCAGCCACTCATTATAAGGCTCTATCCCCAATCAAAAGGGCCAATTCTATCCCACCTCAGAATGCAGCTCACATAATGGAAATAGCTGCCAGAATACTTGATGCAGGACCTCAAGCTACTTCGAAAGTAAAATCGCCCCTAATTGGATCTTCTTCAGTACCCTTGAAGTATAAAGGTTTAAAAGAAAGGGCTGAAGCTTCTCAAAAGGTAGTCAAGATTGCTGAAGCTTCTCGGAGGCCAGCTGAATCTAATGCTTCGAAGTATCTTAAAGGGCAACCTATGAATAAGAGCTGGAATGGGTCGGCAGATATAGCCAGGCAGAAGGATTTCTCAGATTCTGATGAATCTTTTGGTGGAGGCAAAACTAAAGGAAAATCTGTTTCACTAGCCTTGCAAGCAAAGGCCAATGTTCAGAAAAGAGAGGGCCTAAATGCAGGCAGTAGCAGAAGTGTACTTGTCCAGAAAGAACCACCAAGTAAAGTCATCTCAAACCAGTTGTTTACAAGCCAACCTACTACAGAAAAAAACACACACAAGAAACCATCTGTACATAATAGTTCAAGTGTTCTGCGGCAGAATAATCAGAAACAAAATAGTATGGCTGATAGGGGCAAGTCACCTTCTAAGCAATTTATTTCCAATTCACAAGGAAAACGAACAGTCAGTGGTGATTCTTCCTTTGTGCGACAGAGAAGTTCAGGTAAAATGGCTGAAAACTCCAAAGTCAGCTCCAGACGGTTGAGCAGAGAGGCAGACAATAAAAAGGAAGAAGCATATTCTTGTACTAAAAGTGTGTCACGTAAGAAACGGCCTAGTGACGGTGATATCCAGTATGAGAAAAATCAGGCTACTGGAAGTATGTCTACTCATAAAAGTGGCAAGCTGATTCAGTCTGGCACATTCATGGATAGGGAAATACGCTGGGGTGAGAACAGTAAAGGGAAAGGGACAGACATTATTTCTTTCTCTTTCAGTACTCCCCTAACTCGATCGATGCCCACGGCTGAGCTCCCAAGAGAAGTATTAGGGAAAAGTCATGAGTTTAGCACAGACTTTCGAAGTAACAAGATGCAGCTCACCTCAGATTGTATGAATAATCTTAAGGCTCCTTTGGGGCATAACTTGAGTGGAGGGGATGCTTTGAGCACTCTTTTGGATCAAAAGTTAAGAGAATTATCTTCTGTAGTTGAGTCTTCACGCCAGAAAACATCCAATAGTTCCTCATCGATTTTCCAGGATCTGTCACCATCTCTGAATGGCTTATCAAAGACCACCATGTTGCATGTTAACAGGAACCATGATGACATGGAAGTGGATGATTTAGTCAGCCCTTGCAACCCTGGCTTTTCTTCTACTGGTCCTCTGGGAATCACTGGGCAGCACAAGCATCAGGTGTGTATCATAGGTTTTGCAAAATTCTGTTTTTGCACTTGAATCTTTATTGTATTTAGTTGCCACTCTATTTGTAGGTTGCAGATACCTCTTTTGATACATCAACTGATATTTTTATACTGTATTCCTTGTCATATGATAATTTTATTTTACCATTCAGATGACTCAATGTTAACCTGCATTTCTTGTTAGCCCTTTTGTGCCTTTTAATGTCTTGATGTTTTGCGGTCTTTGGATTTGACTTAGTATTGTTTTGGACATCTTTGAATAAAACTTTCTTCTCTCCTCCTACTTTCCTGGTTCAATGTACTTTTGGTAATTGTATTTGCTCTATTTGGTTAAGAACTCTTCTTTTTATTAAATTATAGAAAGCTTGCTTTCTACTAAGTAGATGGAAAACCTCTCAATTTCATCATTTAATCTGTATCATTTCAGGGGATTGAAGAGGAACTGAGTGAGTATGGTAGCAGTGAATATGAATGCAGGAAGGTGTTTGGCAGTCGGTTCCTGAGCCCTATTTCTGTTCTTGAGCAATCTTTTCTTACTGAAAGTTGCAATTCTTCAGATACTGCAGAAAGTAACAATACAGGAGGTAAGATCAGCAGACCTAGTGCCTTTATTTTTATGCATGAAAAATCCACTGGTAATTTGTGTTATGAACATAATAGGTTGACACTATAGATATATATCTGAACATTAATTATCTAATGAATTTCAGCTTGCAAGCAAAGTTCATCGGTACAAGCTAAAGAAGTGTTTGGTATATGCTCGTGGAATAAGTTCCACTCTATGGAACCTGAGGTAGATTTGTTAGACTCTGCCTCTTCAACTTTTGGTAAAGAGGAAGACGGCAAATCATCAAATTGGGAGCTGGAATATGTGAAGGACATACTATACAATATTGAGTCGATGTTCATGGATTTTGCAATGGGAAGGTGTCAGAAGATCATCAATCCACACCTTTTTGATCAACTGGAAAGGATAAATAGTCATAGACATGATGAGCTAAAACAAAGACGAAAGGTTGTATTTGATTGTGTGGGTGAATGCTTGGACTTAAGATTCATGGTGGAGGGTGGATATGATTCATGGTCAAAAGGTCTATTGGTGGTTAAAAACAAGAAGAGGCTAGCAGAAGAAGTATATAGGGAAATTTCAGGGTGGAGTGGCATGGGAAACTGCATGGTTGATGAACTCGTAGACAAGGACATGAGCAGCGGTTTTGGAAGATGGATGAACTTCGAAGTTGAAGCATTTGAACTGGGAATACAGATCGAGAAACGATTGCTAAATTCATTGATTGATGAAGTAGTTGCTGACATCTTGCTACTCTAACAGATTTTTATCTTCATCCTGTCGATACAATTCTTGATCTTGCTCCATGTGAATTTCGCACATTCTTCTTGTATGTTTTCTTCATACATCTCTTATGATTAGAAAAATTAAACCGAAAACAGCTTTTGGATGTCATTATAGATTGTTTTGTTGAAGGTGATGTTACCAGAATAGAATATTAACATCCACATTTCATTTGTCAGTTTTTTTATCATTCTGTTCCATTTTTGTCTTGCGAAACTTACCTAAGTAGGTGTTGGAAATAGCTCAAAAAAGTCTATTCTGAAGTGTTGGTTTGATTGAAATTTGATTGAGTTGAGTTAAAGGTCACCATTGTTGAGGTCTTAAAGCTTTGAGTTATATCAAATTTGAAGATCTATTTGGGAGATGGATTTATGGCAATTGGAGATGTTTTGAACCGATTCTATATTATCCTTCTTTATACGCTCACCAAACAACACATTTTTCTTACTTAATCTCTATTTTATAAGTCAAATCAATTTGTGTGTCCTTAACCTCATAACAAATTCACCTGTATCATTATTCGAGTAAACAAATTTGCTAGTTAAAATTTTTCCCAGGATTGTTATCCCACACTACAATCCCAGGATACTAATGTAGGATAAGTTGTCCTGTGATTTTATTTCAACCAAACTTGAGATAAACTCATCCGAAAATTAATCTTGGAATAATTAGTCATCCCTTATCCTCCATACCAAACAAGCACTTATGTCTTGATGACAACACAATGAAGCTTGACGATATCGGCTTTGTTTAACAAACATTTTGTTGAATAATATTATTAGTCTTAGACGAGTACTTGTGTTATGATTATACAGTTCTTGGCCTTAAATTAAAGTTCTAAAAGCTCACCTATAAGTGTTAATCAAGCAGAGTTGGGTATTGTTTTTCAGTCCTTTAGTAGTCCATTATACAAAAAGTACATTTTAAGAGGCGTACAAAGTCTAAATTGGATAAGTAAAAGTGAACAGAGTAAGTAGTACTAACAATTGAAAAACAAAAATGCATGATTGGAAAAGCAAAAATGCAAAAAATAAGGAAAGCGGAACTAATTAATTAGTACTAGTACTAAATTCTTATATATTGAGTACATTTTTTTTTCGATGATTAATCCGTAGGAGGTGCAAGTCGTAGATGAAGATCAACTTCCGGTCCATCATGATCTGGATTTTGAACGGCCATGATGTGTTGTTGTTGGCGCAAATGTATCTGATATCGAAGTGGAACCCCTGAAAGTATCTGTGACCGATACCTAGACATACTCACGTTATTATTAATCAGCGCTCCTGTTCTTACTGCGTGTGCATTGATCAACGGAACTACAGGACGGAAACGCTGTTGATAACCCATTAAATAAGCTCGTCTTGTTCTTTGCCTTTCCTTTTTATGTGCGTTTTGGTGTCCACCTAGTGCTTGAGAATTTGCAAATTCTTTATGGCAAAATTGGCATTCAAATCTCTTGTCCTCCGATGGAAGTGGCGGAGGAGGAAGCCTCGTGGTTTGATCACATTCCGTCACCTGAAAACCGAATAGTTTCACTTGTCTTGGTGATGATGAAGAGAAGTTAGTTTGTACTGAGCTTTCTCCCATATTTTTAGTCACAAAAAACTGATATGCTACTGAAAATAAAGTCATAATGGACTGGTCTTGTATTTATAGAGAGAGAAACATATATTCTCATTCATCCTCTAAAAGTACTTGGGGCAAAATTAAAGGATGTTCACTTATTTGTTTTATTCATAGTCTACTGTTGCATCATATTATTTCATTTTAATTTGTTTATTTTAGGACTTAACACATATTTTATTTGAACGCATAATCCCTTATCACTTTTCATCAGACATTTTTCATGGGCCCACACTAATTCATCACTACAATACTTTGATCAACTACAAATTTAAGACATCATCGTAACATGATCGAAACTACCCCTAGTCGTAATACGGTGCTTAGAGTCACAAGTGACCCCAAGCTAATGATTTGGCATAACACTAAGATTCATACAAATAATAATTGAAGACAATTGATGCGGAAGCTAAACTGAAATAAATCCAAAACAACTGAATAGTCAAAATAGAAATCATTTGAACAAACCATAAAGCTGAAACTATCGTCTGATTGTCTGAAAGCCTCTACTAAGAGGAGTTGTTCGGACAAGCCCTCAACTAAGTCTAACTATCTGAAACTGAAGGATTAACATAAAGAAATACCAATAGCTCTTTTCCTCGAAAGATGAGGACTCATCAAGCTCAGCTGCTGACATGATACGAAGATCGATCTACTAACCGTGAGCTGAATATTGAGTGTCTGAACCTATATTATAAAACAATATAGCGCAAAAGAGTATGCGGTCAGTACTTTAAATGTACTCGATATGTGAGATAAGCACAATAATCTAACAAGATGAACATGATAAATCTAAGATGTTGAACTAAATATAAAACATAAATAAATTAGCTGATGTATCGACCAAGTAATAAACATGTAACTAATCAACGCTTGTAACACCCCGGAAATTCTATGACTTAAGTTAGAGCCTCACCTTATGAATAATGACTTAAAATATAGTCAAAATGATGTTTATAAACCTAAACTAATGTAATTGACTTGGTTTGGAAGGATAAAAGTCTTAACGTCAAGAAAACGACCACGACGTCCGGAAACTAGAGAAGAATGTGTTCTAGCGTGTCCTTAGGTTTTGGGTAGGTTTGGGAGTGTCATATGATGGTAAAATCTTGTAAAAAGGTTTAAATTAGGTAAGTTATGTTCATAGGGTCAAAAACGTCCGGGTACGACCCCCCAAGGACCCCTTAGGGGTCCTTGAGGAGGACCCAAACATGGACCCAAAAGCTGGCAAAACTGCAGCAAACGACGAGACCAAGACTCACGGACCGTAGACTGGTCGACGGACCGTAAGTCATGGCCGTGAGTCTATACTTAGTCGTGGGAGACTTGACCCCCCAAAAGGGGGCCTCAGTACCAAACGACGGATGACCAGCCCGGTCCGTAACTCCACCTACGGTCCGTAGGTGGAGGGTCGTAAGTCCTGGCAGTTGTTAAGTTTTAGTTTTGGTTTAGGGGTCTTAGTTTTAGTTAGTTATTTAATTAAGGGTTAAGATGGGTGGTTAGTTAACTAATTACCATTCTAAACCTAACTATAAGACCCTAACCCTAAGACTTTAACTCACACAACTAAACCCACAAGTCAAACTCATTCTTTCTCAAAACTCTCTCAACCAAGAACCCCATTGAAGAAGAAGACCAAGGTTCATCTAGGGCAGCAAGGTTTCGATTTTTCCCCATCAGTTCTCAAGGAATAAACTAAGGTATGGTTGCTTATCACTCTTGGGATTCATTTCCCCAAGAGGTCCCTTCAAGATGAATTTCAAAATCTCCAATTTCTAGGTTTTCAATCCAAAAACGTGGGTCTTCTTTCTAAAGTGAAATTGATGTTATAAACTGAATTTGATTGATGTTATGTGAACAATTATGAATAAATTTATGTTGTATTTGTGGTTTCTTGAAAAATTTCCCATGAGACCCATGTTTCTCCTTCTTTCCTAATTCTAACCCTACTTTGTGTTGGATATTGATTGAAGGCTATGAATTGAAGGTGATGTTATGTAATTCATGTTTGTATGATGATATTACCCTAAATTATGTATGATTACTATGGAATTAGGGTTAAATCTTGAATGGGGCCTTCAAGGCTATGAGGAGATGATATCAATGTGATTCTTTATGTATTGTTGAATGTACTTGCTTAATTCATGTATGATGAAGTTGGATGATGGTTCCCTCTTCCCTCTAACCCTAGTTGGTGATTGAGCATGTTATGATGAGATGCAATGCAAGTATGAATGTTGTGAGATGTTGGTATTATTGTTGTTATGTTGAATTGAAGGTAATTCTTATTAACACAATATGAACATGCTATGAGTAAATGTGTTTTATGTGAAAGGCTTTCTCACATATGTACACACATACATGAATGAATGAAGCTATTGACTAATGTAATGAATGTGAGTCTCTTGAAAGGTTTCCTCAATTGTACTCTAAACTAGTCTATGTTATGCATGGTATGATAATGTGAAAGGTCATTCTCACATGATGAAGGTTCTTGATGAAAGGTGAATTACTTAGATTGTAATGATGCTATACCTAATGTGTTGTTGTGGTGTTGATGACCTAGTTTCCTCATCCTTAACCCTCTACACTTGAATTAGCTATGAAGTATGTATGTATGTTATGGTATGATTGTTATATGATTGAAAGGTAGTTCTCATGATTATAATGTAATGTAAAGTGAAAGGTTTACTCACTTGCTAAGTGTTTCTAAGGTGAAAGGATTGTTACTCACTTATGAACACATATGAGCTATTATGGTAAGATGTCTACATAAGAGTCTAGTAAAGGCTAATGTGAACTTATGTGATGACTAAAGATGATTACAAAAGGGAATTTGATGCTTAGCACCGAAAGGGCATGTAAATGAGATGGGGGTCACACGTTTAGTAAGTCCGGCTCCCCACATGGGTTTCCTCACGTTTAGCAAGTCCGGATTACCCACGGTATGTGTTGTCTCATGAGATGGAAATCCCCACGTTTAGTAAGTTAGGATTTCTAGAAGCAATCTCCTTGACCCTTAACTATGTGCCCACATAGGACTCTAGCTTAGTGGATCCACCTAGATAGCTATGTACGAATGGTTACACCTTAGGCAAGTGTTAACCCTCTCTTTTCGGTGTGGGAGTAGAACACCGGATTTCATGTAGCTCTCATGGTCTATGTCGGTTATGGCAATATCTCCTTAATGTAAAAGTAAATGAAGGCATGAAAGGTGTGAACTATTACTAGGACTTTCTTGAGGGTTTCTACATAGTATAAGGAAGGGTATGGGACTTCTCTTGCACATTGCACTTGTGGGATCCTAAGAGATGGTTGTAGTAGTGTTCTCTTATGATTATGATGATTATGACTTATGTATGTTGAAGTTATGTTATGTATAATCATTATGAATATGGTAGGTTATGATGAAATATGACCTTATGAATGGATGCATGAAGTAGGTTACTTAATGTGGTACTTAGCTTTGAGTAGGGTTAT